ATCTTGACAGGGAAGTCAGAAGTTTGGAAGGTCTTCGGGAGTGGATGGGGATACGTAGCCCAAACCTGCAGAGGAATTATTATGGAAGTGATCTGGACAGAGAGGAATGATGCTCTGTTTAGGACTGAACACTTACAGGCAGAGAAGGCTCAGAAGCTGGTCTTGACCAACTTGAGAAGGCCGATTCAAGCAGATTGGCAGTCAAAAGGCAAATGGTGGTTCCAGAACACTTGGGCAATTGATAACCGACTGACGATGGTTACAGATGATGAGAAGTTACAGATAGGCCCGTGGTTAGGGAGGGAATGGTAATTGAAGTTAGAGAGCCGACTATAGGCTTGAGTAGTAGTGGGGAGTAGAAGGGGTTAGATGGTAGGACGGGAGTAGCTGAGTTGTTGTGCTAGATAAGCTACTCGCAGGTCTGGCTGAATCGGGCCGACCTGTAAGCGAACACTGGGTAAGGCTCCCAGATTAAGATGTGAAGCGACCTGGTAGGGGATAGGAATTTTATATCCTTTTATTTCTGATTGTTGTTTTGATTGTCCAGTTGAGGGTTTGTTTGTGGGAGAATTGCAGATCAGGGGACGCTGGGCCCGATTCCCAGCACAGGTTCATTCCGGGTTGAGATGTGGAGGGATTCCCGGCCTCCGAAGATGGTTGAGTTGGAATGGAAAAAAAAGAAAAAAGGGCGTGCATGGAAAAAAAAAAAAAAAAAGGGCGTGCATGCCCGCCAGATGCGTTGCTCCGGACGTTTTTGTTAGGCATTTGTCTCTGCGACCGCCGCCGTCCTGGCTGCGCCCCCACGCCCTAGCGTGGTATCAGTATAGGATTGGTAAATGGTTTAGTGACACCTGGGGTAGAGACTCCAAACTAGTCAAGCTTACTGCAGAAGGCAGGTTATGCTTTTTGTCTTGGCTTCTCACCCCAGCTGGTCACGGGGAGCGATTTAGCCCCCCCCCTTAGCCTGCCTCTGTGTCTTCTCTGATCTTTAGAAGAGGTTTTCTCTATGGTTGAAACAAATAGTCAAGTGTCCCTTGAGGTTGCGTCCTTTACCTTTTTTTCTATTTTGGAGAGTTCTTTCGGAAAGGGACAAAAGACCCGCTTTTCCAGGAGCCTACAGCTGGGTAATGGCCCGAGCATGTTTTTGTACCGGGTTGATATACGAGGTGTGTTCCCGGGCCTCTGTCCCTCTCTTGGAATGGAAAGTTTTACTTCTCCAAAAAAAAAAAAAAAAAAAACGAAAGAGCTGGAGTGCTACTGTCTTCCCCCGAGCATAACGCACCCTAAAAATGAATGTATACGAGTTTATACGAGTTATATTTCCGGCCAGATACTGCCAAAACCGGTTTTTTTTCCCGTGTGATTGTCCCTACACGCCCTCACTAAGGGCACAGTCACACTAGCACCTCATTGAATGTACCTGGCAGTTATCGTGGCGTTTGGGATGTTCGTTTTTCACAGGTCGACAACAAAAGTGCAGCCAAGCTCTCGTGGGCTGGTCACTGGTCCGCCGCCGTCCTGGCTGCGCCCCCAGCGTGGTATCAGTATACAAGCTATATTTCCGGCCAGATACAGTCAAAATGAGGGTGCGTTGTGTTCCGGGGACGACGGCAGCGGTTTAACGTCCACCTCTGCCCCCCTTGCCACCCCACAAAAGCAAAAGGAAAGGAGAAACCAGCCATCCTTGGCGGCACAGGGGCTACATATATGAGGGTCTGGGCACCTTGGGGCTATGTTGGAGTTCTAAAGAAACGAACCTGGTCAGATTATTGACCTCGTTCATGCTTTTCGCCGCCCCACAAAGGCAATAGGAAAGGAGAAACCAGCCATCCTTGGCGGCACAGGGGCTATGTACGAGGGTCTGGGCACACTGGGGCTATGTTGGAGTTCTAAAGAAACGAACCTGGTCAGTATAGGGACCTGGTTCATGCTTTTCGAGCATGAACACCCCCCCCCCAGTTAGGCCTTCCACGAAAGCAACGAGGGAATGGTAAAGAGCCTCGCTCTACTCCTCACCCCATGCACAGAAGATATAAAATTATGCTGGTGCATTTTTCCATGTTCTAGCAGAAGATTCATTCTCATTCTGCACAATTGATAAGCAATTGGGGTCTAGTATCTGCAGTGGGTTCAGGTAGGTTGGATAGGGTGCCATTGGGTGTGCTTCCTACTGACATTCGGATAGAACTGTGCTGCCCTGTCTGAACCTACATGTAGGGTCCATAGTCTCTTGGGGTCTGTAGTATATTGTCTGGGCCTGGCGTCCGGAAAAAAAAAAAAAAAAAAAAGTTCCCGTTCGGCAATGCTCGTCCGATTCCGCTTCCACCCTGTGGCTGGGTAACTTTTTTTTTTATATATTTTTAAAAACTATATCTTCTCTCAATTTTTCCTCATCGGCCCTGGTACCTTTTTTTTTTTTTTTTTTTTTTTTTTT